GTCCCTAAAATATAAATATTGTGAAAATCCATAATAATTAACAACGAAGACCTTAACAAATTTGCGATTTTGTTTAAAAGAATGTTGACCAGGTAGTTTTTCCAGAAAGTCCTCGAAAGAAAAACTTTCTTTCAAAGGATTTATAATTTGGCGTTCCTTGAAAGTTGTAGAGTTTTCTGTTAGCAAGGATAAACTGCGTTGAGTTTTTTTAATACATTTTTTTCTTTCAGGAGCGTAAACAAAACAACGATATGTCACGTAAACATTCCACGCACAGCTGACCATGAGAAAAATTCTTGATCAGTGTAAAATTCTAAGACGAAAATATCTATAGGAGCTATATCCAAATCTGACCAATTTCAGTATAATTTGCAAATTTATATTTGTTTCGAATTCCGTTACACATTCCCAAGTTCACTGAAAATAGAGACACATAGGAGAATGAGTAGACCGATACATTCCATATTCACACCAGATCTTGAAAAATAAAAATATAGTGATTTGTGTAATTTGAAGACAATCGGACACACATGTACATCACATTTTATAAGAGTTATAATTATTCACAATTTTGACCATTTATCCATCTCCGAGCTCGATCTAAGTTTTATAATAATATTACGATGTACCAAGTTTGGACCAAATCGGAAACTCCTTTTGAGAGTTAAAGTGCGCACGGACGGGCATCGCTAGATGGTACAAAGAGACCTAGGGTCTAAATCCATTATGTCGATGAGGTACATGGCAAACGTGCCTCAAATAATATATACCCTCTATAAATATAAAAAATATTCAAAAAAAATCCGCGATTAATTCCTTTAAAAAATTATGCTGCGAAATCCACGATGAATATTCTCCAATCCAATCCAATTTTGAAGATGTATTTTTTGAAATAATGTTGTAGAGTCCTAGGTAACAACTGGTACCCGTAGGTTTTGATGGGGGAATTTGCCCAATATTTACACACTCCGTCGTGTTATTAGGTATACAAAACAATTTCAGACGAAAATTGTGGTCCATTTTACAGCTAAATATAATCCAATGGTCATTCAAAATGCTAGACTTCTTCCCTCTTCTTATGCGAAATTCCTTGTCGATTGGTTTTCAATTGTGACCTATAGAGCGACTGCAAAAAATATTAATTTTATTGGACCCTTTAAACCCTAAACGTACATTTTCAAAAACGATATTCTTTAACTCTAAATCTAACCCTACCCCAATACAAAATTTAGTGAGGGACGGACGATAATTGCGACATGTATATAATGCTCGGAACACATGGTGTTGCGAGGTGTAGAAAAACTTTAGAAAATCGCATGCGATAAAAAATATGTTTAAAATTGAAAAAATACGATTTCCAAATTCGGAATTGATGAGAAATATGCAAATCAGTCAATCGGTTCTTGACTTATAAGCAGAATAACTTAAACCTATTTTTTTACATATTGTGCCGTTTTTGCTATATATCCGATATCTTGGCTATCAACGTCATTGTAATGATCAGCAGTGATAGTGATAGTGTGATTTGGCCGGGATTACAAATATTCGCGGTTTAGTGGAAATTGTCGTATTTTTTGACATAAAAGTTATACTCTATTTTACGTACTAAATATTGTCCGATGCCGTATAAATTGGTAGGCTTCTGTCCAGCCCTAAACTCTAACTTCATGCTAATTCCGTGTGTTGTTTGTCCATTTCAGCCCCTAAATATTTTGCGATCACCTCCAAATACAAAAGGCTTATATTCTGACTCTATCCCCACCTCGATTTTCAATTTCGTGAGAATCGCAGCGTGATTACAAATTAACATGAACAGACGGACATATATTGCTAGATCGACTCAGCTCGGCGAGTAAGGAAGATCCATACATATAGAGTCGTTCATTTGAAAGTCCATTAAAACCCCCGTTAACAAATCTCTAATATTAAAATTATTCTTTAAAAATCCAAGATTATTGAATTATTGAATATTATATAAAATATTCTATACAGAAGTCTATGTGGGTATCTGAAATTGAGATATTTTGGTGATTTTGGAAATGTGCACTATAATTGTTAAAAGGTACTAAGTGGTACTAAATTTGGTATTGGGAGAAGGGATATAGTTGTAGTCCCGAAATTGGACATTTTGGTCTCTGCGAATGAGATATGGCGGTGGTTTTGGGAATGTATACTCTAATTGTTCGAGAAGTACTTAATGGTATAGAGCTGAAATCCTGAGATGTTATTAAGATGTTACTGTTGTTGTCTGTAGTACAAAATTACGCATTGGATGAATGGATAGAGCTGGAATCCCGAAATTTTGATATTAAGGTCTGCCTTCGTATCTGGGATTAAAACATGGAGTTGATTTTGGAAATGTGTACTACAATTATAATGATAATGATTAAGATTAAAATGTCATTATTACTCTGCAAAATATCCTAAAAATTAACGGTCATTGTTCTAAAGTGCCCTAAAAATCCAAAAATATTGCTTTGAAAGATTAAAAAAATATTCTTAAAATTATAAGATTATTGCTCTGAAAAATCGTTTAAGGATATTCATTGGGGTATCCATAATTACTGCTAACAATGTTTGTAAATATATTTGTAATCAAATTAGCAATAATATTATTTTTTAGTCCTCGATTAAAAATGTATGAAAACGTATCCCTTGACAAATGAACTATGAAATATTTTGCTGAAAAATCAAAGGAAAAATCTCCTTGGTAGATCTATGAAAAAATATTTCTCAAATTTCAGTAATACGGTTTTGAGACTCTTCAAAATTGGTCCTTAAAAATCCACGATTCTCGTTCCAGAAAATATTACTCTGATAGCCTTAAAAATTATTTATTTACATTATAAAAATATTGCTCTGAAAATCGTTTAAGGATATTCATTAGGATATCCAATGTCCCTCAAAAATATTTACAATCAAATTAGCAGTAATATTGTTCTTTTGAATTCTCGATTACAAAATGTATGAAAATGTATCTCTTACAAAATTTAGCTATAAAATATATTGCTTAAAAATCCACGAAAATAGTCCTTGGAAAATGTACAAAAAACAAGTAAGCAAAAGCTATAGTCGTGCGGGGCCGACCAATAACACTACAATATGTTTGAAGCTCCCTTATGTCCAAATTCATTGTGGAAGTTTTCGCATTTGAAATTATGTGCACTGCCCAGATATTACCCTTAGAATTTTTGACCAGGGACAGTTGCCAAATATTTACGCACTCCGTCGTGCTGTTAATTGTTGTGGTCCATTTTACAGCTATATATAATCCAATGGTCATCCAAAATTCTAGAATTCTTCCCTGTCCTCAACTTTCTTCTTAAGCGTGCCGATTGGCTTTAATTGTGTGATCAGGAGATTTTTTCTGTTTTTGGAAGGCAAGAGGCCCTCTCTATATCTTCAAATTTAGACTCATCTTGTCTACGATATTTGGGTATATTCGTCAACGAAATCAGCATAAAAATCAATAAGTTCGCCTTTTGTGTATTTTTGGATATTGTCTGTAAGTAATGTTGGTATTTTTTTTTTCACACAAAAATAAGTGGTCCGTTCCTAAACTCTAACTTCATGCAAGATCTCGGGTCCTTTGGTTTCTATTTGTGACCTTTATAACGGCTGCAAAATCAGGAATATTTTTAGTTGTTGGTCCATTTCAACCCCTAAATGTATTGTGGATATCTTTTAAAACAATAGGTCAAGCCCTTCTGAGCCTAAACCTACCCTTGTAAAAATTTTCATGAGGATCGGACGATAATTGCAATCTGTATATAATAATCCCAACCTGTGTTGTAAGGTGAAAAAATATTACATCGCATGCGATAAAAAAAATGAAAAAATAAAAAAATGTCAAAAATATTACAAAAAAACAAAAAAAGTGTCACAAAATCTATATTAGCATTATTATTGACATATTTTTATGCGATTTTTTTTAGATTTTATACTTTTATGCCAAGAGGGCATTCTGAATTGACAAAATTTGTCAAAATCGGTCCAGCCATTCTTTGAATATAAGCATTCTAACTAACATCCCCTTCCTTTGTATATACACATTGTATATATTTCGCTATATATATCCGATATATTAACTATTGGCATCGACGTAACGGTCAGAATTGACCTGTTCATCTGTTTGTGATTTCGTCGGGATTAAATATTTTCGCGTTTTAATGGAAAATATGACTTTCATTTAACACAAATGTTATGGTCTATTTCACACACTAAATATTACCCGATGACCACCAAAATTGGAAGGCTTCTGCCCAGCCCAAAGCTCTAGCCCCATGATAACTTTCGTTTCGATTGGTCTATAATTGTAACCTGTAGAGCACCTGCAAAATCAGAAAATTTTTCAGTTTTTGGTCCATTTCAACCCCAAAATATTATGCGATCATATCCAAAAGAAATAGGGTTCTATTCTGACCTTAACCCCACCTGCATTTTAAATTTCGTGAAGATCGGGCCATAATTGCGACCTGTAGAGTGATTACAAATTAACATGGACAGCCAGACAGACGGACGGACGGACATACATAGCTAGATCGACTCAGCTCGGCGAGATAGGAAGATCCATATATACTTTCCTATGTGGGTAGTCAATATTTCGATGTGTTACATAATTTTTGGCCCAATCAAACTTATAATACCCCCAATAGATAGTTTTGTAGGGTATGAAAATATTTCTCAAATTTCAGTAATACTGTTTTGAGAGCCTTAAAAATTATTCGTTGATAATCAACGATTCTTGTTCTAGAAACCCAAAAAAAAAAAATATATTTTTAAATATTCACGATCTTCAAAGATCCTCCACCCATTTTCTTTGTGAAGACGCAGTTGCTCATAAAAATACCTTCAGTTCATAGGTATTTTCGTAAATAGATTTTTCTGCGTGGTTTCCCTTGCATTTCATTAGCTGTCTTTCTAACCGCAGAAGCAAAGAAAAAATTATTGCCGTTCAAGAATATATATTCAATAAATATTTTTTAGTATCATTTGGAATAGCGAGCTATTAGGTTGGATGCAATGAAGTGCCATTATATATTGGCCATATTTTCAATATTACTTAGCCCTTTATGGGCTGCTGACAATTTTAAGGTGGTTTGCTTTTTTGATTCCTCAAGTAAGTGAAAAACTTTTACAAAATTAAACTCAAATAATAAAAAAATCATTTCAGAAAATCCCAACATTAGCCTAAGCGATTTAAGCAATGCCCTTGACCATTGTAGCCATTTCGTTTACGGCTACGCCACTTTGGTGCCACATTTCTTTTCAATTTCGTTCGATGGAACGCAGGAGCGAACCATTCCCCCATCCGATATTGGCATATTGAAACAAGAATTTCCTCAAGTGAAATTTCCCATTTTGAAGTACATCAGTCATACTTTGTTGAAGAAATATCAATGAGTCAGTTGTTGTAAGAAACCGATGTATGAGAGTATTTACTAAATATAAATGGATTAAAATAATCGATTATCAGTTCAACAAATCCGTTGTTATACCAAAATCGGAGAATATGTCACAAATTGAAATGGGTTTAAACCTATTTTTGTTATTTTTGGACGATATTAGTTTCAAGTCATTGGAATTCGGTGACTTAAAATTGAATATAAGGGTGAAGATGGACTACATATACCGGTGCACTTCGTAAGGAAATAATTTGAAACCAGTAAGACTATATGATACCCTGCACCACTATGCGTGCTTACTGGAGTTCCCGTAACAAAAAAAGTTTTTATTGGGAATTTATGTGAAGTATATCATACCTACTATGAACCTTATTTAAATTTATATCATGGCTTTAGTGGAGTCACAATTTGGGAACAATATCCAACCCTGAATCGATTTTCACCAAATTTGACGGAGGCTTTTTCGAATAAAATTGCTGCATAATGCATAATAAATAAAATAGGATGCAGATGTGTATCGACGCTATATAAAAATCTGAACTGATTCCGATAAAATATGGTAGAGGTATTTTCGAACAGTATCTGATGCCCGGTATCAAATATCATTGTTGTGGAGTGCATATTACGCATGTGAGGGACTAAAAACCCCAAATCGGAATTGAGCTATATCTGAATCGATTTTCACCTAATTTGAACTACTTTTTTCTAGGATCAATTCAATCGGAATTGTCAACATGCATTCCATTTGGGCTGATATTAGTCATTATTTCTACAATAAATCTGAAATCGGATTATCTACATATATGGGAGCTCTACCCAAATTTGAGGCCATCTTTATAAAATTTGGCAGTGGTATTTGGTATCTATAAGATATCTATCATTATTTTCGAATGCTTATTACAAATGTGAGGGACTTAAACACCAAATCAGATGAAACAAATATATGGGAGCTATAGCTATATCTGAATCCATTTTCACCAAATTTGATGTGCTTGCTTATAGACTGATTTCGGTCGGATGTACCTAAATTCAGATCATTTAGACTGATATTGACAATTTAGTGCACAATTAACTCGAAATGGTTTGAAGATATATATGGGACCTATATCCAAATCTGAACCGATCTTTATAAAATTTGGCAAGGGTATTTCTGGGCTGTATCTGATAACTGGTACCAAATATCACCGTACTTGAATGCATATTAGGAATGTGAGGAATGTAAACATATATATGGGAGCTATAACTATATCTGAACCGATTTTCACCAAACTTGATGTGCTTGCTTCTAGACTGACTTCGGTCGGATGTACCAAAATGCAGGTCATTTCGACTGATATTGACCATTTGGTGCACAAATAACCCGAAATCCGTTGAAGAAATCTGTTGAAAGTATGTGTCTATGTGTGGTTAGTTCGAGGTCTATGCAAAGTCCAATTTTTTGCCTTATAAAAAATTGCGCAACTCAGACTGGCTATAGAAAAAAATTGCGCAACTCAGACTGGCTTTTGAAAAAAGTCTTAAATTTGTCGAAAATTAATAAAGGTACTTATAAATCGAAATTTTCGATTGTAATTTCTTTGTAGAGGACGATTTTTTAATAAAAAATCTTTAGAAAAGTTTTCGAAATCATAAAATCTTCATTTCGATTGATAGTACGATGTAAATAATTGTATGACACAAAATAATTATGAGGAGGAGCCAGCATATTCTGAAACTAGAGTTAAAACAAATAAAAAATTGTATAATTGGAGGAGCCGAACTTTGAATACCCTGCACCATTTGGATGGAATATGCAAATTTTCAAAAAATGTCCGTTGCAAAATTCTGCTAAAATTATAAAAATACGAAACTTGAAACAAATCCGATGAATAATGGTGGAAAAAATCACAAAAATAGCGAATATAGGGATGTACCATTTAATGGGACCTACAAGAAAACATGGATTCAGAATTTTCAGTCACAGACGTTAGGTAGCATCCACTAGGAACTTCAAATACGAAATTTGAAACAATTCCGGTGGATAATGTCACTAAAACTATCAAAATACCGAATATCGGGAGGTACCGTTATATGGGGGCTATACGAAGACGTGGACCTGCACAGACAATTTTCTGGCATAGGCTGTAATATTTATTTCAAACTGCAAATACCAAATTTGAAACAATTCCGATGAATATTGTGGCAAAAATCACAAAAATACCGCATATCGGGAGGTACCGCTATAAGGGGGCTATACGAAGACGTGGACCTACATCGCCCATTTTTAATACCAAAAGTGCTGCAGACATAATATACATTTGAGTAAAATTATATCAATCTACTTCTATTCATTCGGAAGCTAGAGTGATTTCCACAGACGGACAGACGCATAGAGGGACGGACATCTTTAAATCGACATAGAATTTTATGCTGATCAAGAATACATATAATTTGTGGGGTCTAAAATATATATTTCGAGGTATTACAAACGGAATGACAAATTTAATATACCCTCCATACTATGGTGGAGGGTATAAAAAGTGCAAGAACTTACACCACAACAGAAAGAAAATAGACTCAAAAGAGCTAAAAAGTTGCTTCGATTGGTGAACTGCCGAAAGTGATCAGCTGCCGAATTCGGTTTTCTCCGATGAGAACACATTCGTTGTCCAGCAGTACGTTTGTTTGAAACACTTGGTGCCTAATAAACGTAAAGAATATGCAAGCTTTATGCAAATCTGAACAGATTTAAAAAAATCTGAAAAATCTGCAACAAAGCCAAAAGCCATAATTTTTAATTTTTTTCTAATTTTATTGAATGAAAGCAAAAAATGTCGGAAATAGCATCCTTTGGCACGAATTATGGCCTTCAAACGGCCAATGAAACCGTCACACGCTGCCCGAATGTTGCTCTGCGGTATTTTGGCCCATTCCTGGCGAAGCGCTTGCTTGAGGTGATCGACACTTTGGTATTTTTTAGTGCCAACTTTGCTTTCCCAAATATTCGGCATTTATTCTGATGCCACTGTCGATTAATATGAGCGGAGAGCGACCATCGGCCGTTATGGCGACCCACACCCTCACCATGGCCAACCGAAGATGCACATTTTCAGCTGACTTCTTTGGTAAGTAAACACGATTATTTTGTTTGTTTACAAACTGCTGGACTACGAATGTTTTCTCATTGGAGAAAACAAAATCGGGCAGTTCACCACTTTCGGCCAAGCCAAGCAACTCTTTAGCTCTTTTGAGTCTAGTTTCTTTCACTTTTTGGAATTTAAATGGCTTTACCCCGAGCTCATTTTTCAATATTTGCCGAATGGAATTTTGCTATATGTTCAGCTCACGAGCCATTTTTCGTCCACTGCTATGCGGGTTTCGATCAAGTCGCTTCTTTACTTTTCGAACAATTTCGGCTGATGTTGCTGTTTTCTTCCGTCCACTTTCTTGATGTCGGGCTACGCTACCAGTATCACAGTAACGAGCGATGGTACGAGACACAAAAGATTTATTCACATTTAAATGCTGGAGTGCTCTAACCATAGCCACTTGTGGCTTTCCCTCCAAATATAAAGAAATCACACTATCACGCTTAAATTCCATCACGAATAATTTTTTTTCTGGAAAATTCTTACCAAAATGCTTTTGTACGCTTGTAAACAATATAAAGGGCTATCACTGAAATAATTTTAACAGCTGTCGGAAGAGTGGCTTAGAAATGACAGCAGTCTGGAATTGGTTGCAATTTTTATACCCTCCACCACACTATGGAGGGTATCGAAATAATGATCTTAGACCCAACAAAGTATATATATTCTTGATCAGCGTAAAATTCTAAGACGATTTAGCCATGCCCGTCTGTCTGTCAGTTTGTCTGTCTGTCTGTTGTAATTACGCTATCTTTCGAACGAATTGAGGTAGAAGGCTAAAATTTTGCACACATGTCTATTTTGCCAGTAGGCAGGTTAAGTTCGTAAATCTGGCATGTAGGTCCACGTCTTCGTATAGCCCCCATATAACGGTACCTCCCAATATTCGGTATTTTGATGATTTTAGGTACAATACTCACCAGAATTGTTTGAGATGTCGTATTTAAAGTTCGTAATGGAAGCTGCAGCCTGTGACAGAAAATTGTCTATGCAGGTCCAGGTCTTCGTATAGCTCCTATATAACGGTACCTCCCTATGTACGGTTATTTAATGATTTTGCCTACATTTTTCATAATTTATTTCAAGTTTCCAATTTGAATGGCTTGTGACACGTCGTACAGACCCTAATATAACGGCTATATTCGGTATTTTTAAAATGTAAACAGAATTTTTGGCGAATGGTATCTTTTTCGAAAATTTTCAAATTCGTTCTAAATGGTGGGGGGTATTCAAGTTCGGCCCGGCCGAACTTACTGCTTTTTTACTTGTTTCATCTCAACTTGTATGATGCCCGACTTTCTTTACTGGATGTCATGATTTATGTTCTATCCGTTCAAATATTACCAAACCTTTCAAACATTCATCCTACACCCTGTTAGTGACCCTCATTTCAAATTTAAAAATTCCTACTATTCTAGATATATTTCATAATTCTAGCCCTATTCCTTTGTCCAATACAATTGATCCAATATTAGGTAGCTTTTGGTACATTTCGCACACTTATAGTTCGAATTTCCAAAAAACCCAGGCTTCACCCCTGCACACCAACACATGCAAGACTTTCAAGATTTTAGTTTCAGCCATTCCGCCTAGGCTTTCACTCATCTGGGTGTCCTTTAATTTTCTCCGATAAAATTAAATTATTTATTTTTTTAAATTCTCTAAAAATATTTAAGGTTTTTTTTTGCATACGCACACGCACACATACACATAAGTACATATTATTTACAACAGCTTAATTTTAATCGTTCTAAGCAGCGGGAATTTATCACCATCACAGTTGCCGCGAAAATCATCGAGACTTAAATCGAATAAGGCCACACCGCCCAGACCACGATTCTTCACATAAGTTGCCTTTGTGCCAGCCGAATCGGTGTCATCGAAACTAACCCATAGACCATTTTCGCCATGGCTATCGGCCGAGCGAAAAGCATAGACATTATATTTCCTAATTCTATCCATGACTCTCTTTAAAGGTGCCTCATCTCCCTTTCGATCTACCTTCCATGGGCTTGTTAGTTGGCATATTTCGGAATATTTCAAAAGACCCGGAATCTTGATTTCCTCTCCCGCTGAGGCTGGGCCATCTGTATGCTGTACTACCGGTAGACCATCTGCTTTTGATTCGGGTGTCATTTTCCAGGCACGACCATAAGCAGCAATGCCGACATTGATTTTACTATGTGGCACACGCTGCGAAATCCAATGATCGATTTGATAGTCGATGTTATAGTGACCTTGGCGAGTGCCCTCTAAGGGTGGTGGGAAAATTGGTGCCGTATAGTCTGCCTCCTTGGGATTGCGTTCAGGGGTGGTAAAATCAAATGTGGCCAAGGTGACATAGTTCAGGTTGTTAATAATGGCAGGAGCATTAAAATACCCTGGGACAAAATTTTAAAAATAATTATTCAGTGAAAAAATATTTTTTATTGCTCTGTTCCAGTACCAGCAATGATCTACCAGATTTATCAAAATCGGTTATCGTAGTAAAAACGTTTACATTCTTGCAGTTCTGGAACAGACCAATTATTTTCTTTTCTCAAAACTTACATGACGAATTAACATTTGGCAGTACCGTCACTGTCAACATCAGATCATACGGCCTAAATGCTGCCTTCAAATCCTTCACCAGCTCCGTAAACTGTTCCTTATGCTCATCAGACTTCTCATCGACAATATGGTCGCCGGTAAAGAGTTTCTTAAACGTTTTCCACACCTGACCAACCTCGGTGTGAACCTTTTGAGGTTTATTCCGGGGAAATTGGAATGCCAAATCTAAACCATCAAAATTATACGCACGCAATACGTCACGTGCAGATTCAATGAATCTGGTTTGGTTAGCCCGTCCTGACTCCAAAAGATTAATGTATTTTTCTGGCTTATTAAGATCGGCGTCGCCACCAACACTCAACAGGAATTTGGTGAGAGGATAACGATCCTTTAACTCAGTTACTGCAGCGAAATGTCTTCGCTTTACATCACGCTGTACATTGAGACTGATAATTTCAAAGGTTTCGGGATCGATGCCAGCATAACCGTACACGATGTGTGTACAAAACTGCAGCGCGTAGTCCATGTCTTGTAAAGTGAACTTGGCCTCACCTGAAAACAAATGTAAAAACGGTTAAAACAGAACATAACCTAGTGCTATGGGCATTTTGAATGGCCAAAATCAAGTCAAAAAGTATCAGTATCCGACAGATGTATACCCTCAGCCAATGTTTGATTATTTAAATATATTTTTTCCATATTCATCTCAGGTTTCTGTTGAAGAGAATTATTGAGATATAGGAATTTGTAAAAAATCGCTGACTTGTTTGGCAAGTTGTGACCGATAAAAATATTGAAAATGGTGACCTTTTGTGGGAGAGGTACCAGAACGCGTTCGCAGACATCTATCATATTCGCAAGAGATCTGTATGTGTGAAATTTTAAGAGATTTGGACGCTTATTTCGCTTTCTTTGAGCGTTTTGTTTTTCAAAACCTCGAACCCTATGTGGAAGAGGTACAAGACCATAGAGATCTTGTGTTGATAGAAATATTAATATGTGCCAAGTGTAAATGGAATCGGATGTTAATGTAGCGTTTTATGAGCTTTACGGATATTAAAAATGTTGACCCTTTCTAGGGGAGATACCAAAAGAAGTGGACTGATATATTCCATCTTCACAGCAGATCTTATATTTGTAGAAATAATTGAATGTATGAAATATGAAGAGAACCGGATCCTTATTTCGGATTTTCTAATCGTTTTGGCTATATAAAACTTTCATATTTTTTGGGGGAAGTACCAGAAGGAATGGTCCGATCGCTACCATATTTATAACAGATCTTATATGGATATAAATACATTTAAAGTCTAAATGAAATCGGATTTTAATTTCGTGTTTTATGAACTTCATGGATAATCAAAACGTTGACCCTTGTTGGAGGAGGACCAGAAGGAGTGGGCCGATATGTTCCATCTTTACACCAGACCTTGGGTTCATAAAAATATTGTGCTCTGCGACTTCTAGTGGGAGAGGTAGCAAAAGGAATTGTCCGATCTGTGCAGATTTTTTTTTTTTTTTGAAAATTTCGACCTTTTGTGGTGGGAGCTACCAGGAGGAGTGGACCATATATATTGTCCATTTCCGAACTCGATCTAAGTTTGATAATAATATTACGATGTACCAAGGGAGCTACCAGGAGGAGTGGACCATATATATTGTCCATTTCCGAACTCGATCTAAGTTTGATAATAATATTACGATGTACCAAGTTTGGCCCGAATCGGATACTCCCATCGATATCGATTCGAAACGGATTTGGTCCAAAAAGACCTAGGGTCTAAAAGCGCTATTTCGATGAGGCACGTTTCGGCCGTATTAAATGTTATGTACCCTCTCTATGGCGGAGGGTCATGCTATGGAGGGTATATTAACTTTGTCATTCCGTTTGTAACTTCTCAAAATACTCATGTCAGACTAACAAAGTATAAATATTTTTGATCAGGGTAAAATTCTAAAATTCCATTAGGCAGGTATTTCGTAAATGGGTCCTGTCGGCCCCAAAAAATGGTCCCTCCCAAATAATCGGTATTGGATGATTTTAGCGACATTATTTACCGGAATTGTTTGAAAATGTGGCCGTTATATGTGGCTATACGAAAACGTGGACCTATACATACAATATTTCACCAGCGGAGCTGACCTACAGATAATAATTATTAGACAAATCCGTGAAAAAATGTGGCGAAAATACCAAATATCTGAAGGTAACGTCATATGTAGGCTATACCGAAACGTGGACCGATATATCGCGTTTTCAATGCATTCAAAAAGACCTAAAAGCTACAGCTGGTGTATTCAGCAAACAAGAGAGATCCAGATTACTGCATTTCGTTATTATACCTTTCACCAAAGTAGGGAGTATATTAGCTTTGACATTTAGACCCCCATATATACCCTTGATCAGCATAAAATTCTCTGTCGATTTAACGATAACGATTGAAGTTCATAATGGATGTTACAGGCTATTACAGAAAATTGTATGTGCAGGTCCAGGTCTTCGTATAGCCACCCATGGTACCTCCCCATATTCGGTAGATTGATGATTTTAGCGACATTATTCACCGGAATTGTTTCAAATTCGGTATTTGAAGTTCGTAATGGATATTACAGCCTATGACAGAAATTTGTCTGTTCACGTCCACGTCTACATATAGCCCCCATATAACGGTACCTCCCCATACTCGGTATTTTGACGATTTTAGTGAAATTATTCATTGTTTGTGACTTTTTACTGCAGTTCCTAATAAGTACTACAATCTACAACCTGTTCAGGTCATCGTGTAGCCCCCATTTAAGGGTGCCCTTCTGTATTTGGTATTTTGGTGATTTCAGAGGCATTATTCACCGAAATGGCTTCAAATTTCGTATTTGCACTTAGTAATGGGTACTACAGCCTGTGACAGAAACTTGTCTATGCAGGTGCAGGTTTTCTTATTTCCCCTATATATCGGTACCTCCCTATATTCAGCATTTAGATGATTTTAGCGACATTATTCACCGAAATTTTTCCAATTTTTGTATTTTAATTTCACTATGGGACTACAGTTTATGAAGGAAATTACCTATGTAGATACAGGTCTTCGTATAGCCCCTCTATATCGCTACCTTCCTACATTCGGTATTTAATATTAATAATAAGGTACAATATTTATCGGAATCGTGTCAAATTTAATTTTTGCATTTCCAAACGGGTACTGCAGGTACACGTGTTCATGTAACGGTCAGGATTTTTAACCGATTCAATTTTTTTTTTTTTTTTGAAAATTTCCAATTTCGTTTCAAATGGTGAAGGGTATTCAAAGATGCAACACTGAAAATATATTATTCTATTTTTTTTTTAACAGCAAAAATCTACCTAATACTGCAATAGATGGTAGCAGAAGGTTGTACGTGCTCTTTGTAAAATGTGTCATGCTTGATTTCCATATTTAACTAAATAAAAAATATGATTTCTTCATATATATTTGTATCTATTACTTGATTTTTATATTCAGGCCATAATTTGCGATGCGAACAAATATGGAAACCACAAATCAAGACACACATCATTTCTATGACGTCAACACAATAACACATTCATCAATTTTTTTAGTATTCTATAAAAATGAAAAATTTATTGACTGATAACGATCACATATTATTAACAATAATAATAAAAAATTCTTCTGACTAAGCAGCGTGCTGGGCATCATCCTCACATTAATCTATATTTCATAGATCTCAACATGGGGAATATATAATCAGCCTCCTCGGGATTGCGTTCGGGTGTGGTGAAATCAAAAGCAGCCAAGGTAACAAAGTCCAAGCTGTCGATAATTGCCGGGGCATTGAAGTACCCTTTGAAAACAAAAGAAAGAGATGATGGTAGAAAAATTCAAAGAAATATTTTTTTCAGCTACTTACATGACGAATTAACATTTGGCAACACTGTCAGCGACAACATCATATTGTACGGTGTAAAGGCAGCCTTCAAATCCTTAACCAAATCCGTAAACTGTTCCTTGTGATCAGCGGCCTTTTCATCGACCACAAAATCACCGGTGAATAGTTTCTTAAACGATTTCCATGCTTGACCCACATCGGAATGCACTTTACGTGGCTTGTTGCGTGGAAATTGGAAAGCCAAATCCAAACCATCAAAATTATAGCTACGCAACACCTCTCGGGCTGATTCAATAAATTTATTTTGTTTCTCACGACCCGCCTCCAAGAGATTCACATATTTCTCGGGATTTTGCAAATCCTTATCACCACCCACACTCAACAAGAACTTGGTATTGGGATAACGTTCCTTCAACGCGGTCACCGTGGCAAAGTGACGTCTTTGCAAATCACGTTGGGTGTTCAGGCTAATCACTTCAAATGTTTCGGGATTAATACCGGCATAACCGTAGACAAAGTGTGTACAAAACTGAATGGCCGTCTCAATGTCGGGTAGAGCAAATTTAGCCGCACCTTAAGAGAAAGAAAGAAGAAGAGGGAGAGGGTAAGTGAAAAATGTGTGGAACATTTTTTTTTGTATGAGAATACATTCTATCTTGTAAAATTAAATAACATAAAGACATTTACTATTAATTGGGTCTCCATCTACCTCCTCTTCTATTTCCTCTTAAAAGTGGGTCACTCTATATAGAAGAGAAGTTCTCTTCTATCTATCTCTAATCTATCCTACACAACATTAAAAAACCTCATTCAAAATTCAGATTCCAATCTCTAACCCTTTCCCAGACACCAAATTTATTACCATTAGCATTATTATACTTTTTTAATAAACTGCATATCTCAATCCTAACTACTACTATTATTACTACTACTTTTCGTACTTTTTTATAACATATTTCCAGGGACAGGTTAATAACATACGTTTGTGGATGTGGAAATGTACTAAAAAGTAATAAATTATTTAAATTTGGAATTTGGGGATGGGATTGAGTTGGAAATCTAAAATTTGAAATTAGTGTAGTCGGTGTTATGTAGGAAAAACGAGTTTTAGGGAATTTCAATAATAAGTGGGGTCCTTAAAACTAGAATATTTAAAAGTGCAACCTTATCTTAAAATTTATTTAAAATATAACTTTTCTAGCTCCTACCCATAATTTTTTACAATTCAGTACTTTTCATACCCTTAATAAGGATTAAAAAACAAGTTAAGAAGCAGTAAGTTCGGCCGGGCCGAATACCCTCCACCATTTGGAACGAATTTAGAAATTTGCAAAAAATAAAATCCTTAAAAAATTCTGTTAAAACTTAAATAAAAAAACCGAATATAGCCGTTTTATTGGGGTCTATACGACGTGGACCTACCAAGGTGTGGCTTGTCATAAGTCATTGCCATATTCAAATACGAAACTTGAAATAAACGGTGAATAATGTAGCTAAAATCATCAAAATATCGTATATAGGGGGGTACCGTTATATCGGAGCTGTGCGAAGACCTGGACCAGCATAGATAATATTCTGTCATAGGCTGTAGCATCCATTACGAACTTCAAAATGACATCTCAAACAATTTCGGTGGGTATTGTACCTAAACTCGACAAAATGCCGAATATCGGGAGGTACCGTTATATGGGGCCTATACGAAGACCTAGACCTGCATAGACAATTTCCCGTCATAGACTGTAGTTCCCATTACGAACTCTAAATAAGTAATTTGAAACAATTCCGGTTAATAATGACGCTAAAATCATCAAAATACCGAATATTGGGAGGTACCGTTATATGGGGGCTATACGAAGACGTGGACCTGCACAGACAATTTTCTGTCATAGGCTGTTGTATCCATTACGAACTTCAAATACCAAATTTGAAACAATTCCGGTTAATAATGTCGCTAAAATCATCAAAATACCGAATATTGGGAGGTACCTTTATATGGGGGCTATATGTAAACGTGGACCCACATGGTCCATTTACGAACTTAATCTTAGACAGACAGACGGGTATCGCTAAATCGACTTAGAACTTTGTACTGATCAAGAATATATATTCTTTGTTGAGTCTGAAATGAGTATTTTGAGGAGTTACAAACGGAATGACAAAGTTAATTTACCCTCCATGGTATGGTGGAGGGTATAAAAATTCACCATAGCTGGGACTTTTTCAGCAATAGTGATCCTGGGTTATAAAAAAAAGAGTGGATGGATGTATTCCATTTTTACTCATACTGATACAAATATTGAGGTGTGCAAAAATTAAATAAAGGACGAGATGAAAAAACTGTTAACAGCTGTTAGAATTATTGAAGTGACAGCTCATTACATTGTTTACAAGCGTGAGTTGAACATAGTTGATCGAAACCCGCGTCGCAGTAGCCGAAAAATGACTGGTGCGCTGAACATATCGCAATATTCCATTCGGCAAATATTGAAAGATGAGCTCGGGGTAAAGCCATTGGAATTCCAAAAACCGCAAGAACTTACTCCGCAACAGAAAGAAAATAAACTCAAAATAGCTAAAGAGTTGCTTCGCTTGGCCGAAAGTGGTGAACAGCCGAATTTGGTTTTCTCGGATCTCCGATGAGAAAACATTCGTTGTCCAGCAGTTTGTAAACAAACAAAACGATCGTGTTTACTTGCCAAAGAGGTCAACTGAAAATGTGCACCTTCGGTTGGGCACCAGAACTCAAGCGCCGGCCATGGTGATGGTGTGGGCCGCAATAACAGCCGATGGTCGCTCTTCGCTCGTATTAATCGACCGTGACATCAGAATAAATGCCGAATATTATCGCGAAAATATTCTGGAGGGTGTATAAAAGCCTTGGGCACATTTTGGCCGCAGACCTTGGACATTCCAACAGGACTCAGCACTCAGCACGCGCCACCTAAGAATGGTTGCAAAATGAGGTTCCTCGCTTCATTTCCAGCGCACAATGGCCAACAAAATCTCCGGATACCAATCCGTTGGACTATTGTGTCTGGAGTATTTTGGAAAGCAAGGTTAGCACTAAAAAATACCAAAGTGTCGATCACCTCAAGCAAGCGCTTCAAAATACCGCAGAGCAACATTCGGGCAGCATGTGACGGTTTCATTGGCCGTTTGAAGGCCATAATTCGTGCCAAAGATGACCAATTCGAACGAATCTAAACTTATTCTAAAATTTGATGCTTTTTCTGAATTTTTTTTGTCTTCATTCAATAAAATTTAAAAAAAACGAGTAAAATAGTTTCAGTTGTTTTTGCCGACAGAAATATACCCCTTGAGTTATGAACTTGACAGATTTGGACTATATCGACCACTTCTTGTACTTTATATGAGATATGTGCAAATTTTCGGAAAATGGAAATATGCGTCAGGAAAAAGATATATTCGTATCCAATTTTATGCGAAATCATAAATTCCGACAAATTACATATTCATATCAGAATACTGGTTAAGAGAAATATTTAGATATACCAAGTTGTAAAGAATCGCCGACTTGTTTCTTTGTGGCTGAGGTACCAGAAGGGGTTGGTAGATGTATGTCATCTTCACAACAGATCTTATGTTAGCAATAATGTTTGTATGTGGGAAATTTGAGCAGACTGATGGATGCATTTTGGTGCTTCTTTCGAATTCCTTGAGCGTTCGTTTTTTAAAATCTTGAACCCTATGTGGGGAGGTACCAGAAGAAATGATCAGCTCTCTACCATATTTATAACAGATCTTGTGTTGATGAAAATATTGAGATGTACCAAGTATGAGTGGAATCGGATGTTAACTTTGAATTTTATGAGCTTCGTGGATACTCAAATTTTAACCCTTTTGTGGGGGAGGTACCAGAAGGAGTGGACCGATATATCCCATCTTCACACCAAGTCCAGAGTTAGTAGAAATAATGGGACGTGTGTAATATGAAGAGAACCGGATGTTTATTACGGATACTTTGCTTGTTTTGGTTATTCAAAACTTAGATCCCTGCGTGGGAGGTACCAGAACGAATGGTCCGATCCCTACCATCTTTATAAAAGATCTTGTGTTTATCGAAATATTGAGATGTGCCAAGTCTGTATGGCATCGGATGTTAATTTTGTGTTTTAAGAGCTTAATGGTTATTCAAAATTTCGACCTTTTGTGGGGGAGGTACTTGATGGAGTAGACCGATATTATCAATTTTTGCACCTGATCTAGAACTGACGAAAATATCAGGATTTGCAAAGTTGGAACAAAATCGGATTTTCGATTCTCTTGCTGTGCAGAAAAAAAATATTTTTTTAAATTTTTTTTTTTTTGAAAATTTTGACCTTTTGCGGGGGAGGTACAAATAGGAGTGGACCGATATGTTCCATTTTAACACCAGACCTTGGGTTAATATAAATATTGGGATGTGTGAAACTTGAAGACAATCGGACTCTTACATCACATTTCATGAGAGTTGTAATTATTTAAAATTTTGACCATTTGTGGGGAGGTACTTGATGGAGTGGACCGATATTGTCCATTTTCACACCTGACCGAGCACTAACGCAAATATTAAGATTTGCAAAGCAAAGAGCAAAATACGATTGTCGTTTCTCATTCTGTGCATAAAATAAATTTATTGAAAATTTCGACCTTTTGTAGAGGAGGTACTAGAAGAAGTGGACCGATATTGTACATCTCCGAACTCGATCTAAGTTTGACAAAAATATTTCGATGTACCAAGTTTGGCACAAATCGGATACTCCCTTCGAGAGTTTTCGTGCGCACCAGCCAGACAAACAGACGGAAGGACGGACATCGCTAGATCGACACCACATATTCGAAACGGATTTGGTCCAAAGAGACCTAGGGTCTAAAACCGTTATTTCGACTAGGCACGTTTTGACCGTATCAAATGATATATACTCTCTGTAGCCATATGGCTGAGGGTATAAAAATGTAAAAATTATGGCCTTTGACTTTGTTGCAGTTTTTTATCTCACCCTGTACGTACATGAAGATTAAATACAATTATAAAGTAGGAAATCTAACTTATATGTGGTGGTTGGGAGTCATGTTTTCACTACCGATGATTTTTAAAAATCCCAGATTATAAAATAATTCTTGGAAATTCCCTTAAGGTTTCAATACAAATGTTAGCAAAAACGTAACTATATTTTAACCACACGGCCCAATTATTAGTAGGTTACTCTGCTATTATTCTCCGCATTTCACCTCTAAAAGCTTTTGACACTTTTGAACTTCTCAAATACACTGTGTTAATTATACAATTTAAATTAACACTAAACACAAAGCATAATATAGATCATGAGTAATTTCGAAATTTAAATTTTTTCCCATTGGAGATTTTTCTGGTTTGAAATAGAGCAACAGAAATTTCCAGGAAAATTATACAACAACAACAGCACTAGGTACTATAAATATCTCTTCATCATTACATTATTAAGACTTAAAAACTATTAACTTACCCTGTCTTTCTTCGCTGGCAGCATCATAATAGCATATCATGTTGGGCCCCAAAGCCAGGGTCAAGTGACCCAAAGCCGCAATGGCAAATAAATTCAGCCAAAATTTCATGACTGCTTTGCTCAACACAAAAAGCAATAAATAATTATTATTTTCACTGATATTAAAATTCCACCGAAACCAAATTTCAATTCAATCTTATCAACACCACACGCTTGTGTGAACTGATTTAGTTGGAATTGTGAACGTTTTGTCAAAGCTATTTGCAATTCCCAGACTAGATCGCCACACGAAAAAAAAAACACAACAATTCTCAAAAGCAAAACACACAGAGAGATGTGATGTTTTTATCAGCTGTGTTTGAGCTGTGAGGTCAAATGATCGCGATCGTGTTGGCCAGAGGAAGGAAGAGAGGGGATTGGGGACGCCTCTTGGCAAGTGAGTCCCCCTAGCCAAACAATGAAATTCGTATGAATTGGAATTGTTTTGAGTATTTTTCAATGGGTAATTGAAAGCTCGCTTTTGTGTCACTGAGAAATCGTGGAGGTGTTTGAGTTGAGCTTTAAAGACGCTCATTTACTGAGCAGCAATAGAGAGAAGAGATCAAGAGATCATTGTTTATGAATGTGTAAGCAATTACTTGTTTGTTTGTTTGTTTGATTTAATGGGAACGCATTAATAATAAATTAAATTTTAATTTCTTAACTGTGCCTTGTCTAGAGCAATTAATATTTTTTGTCGTACATTTCCTTAAAAAGATAAAATCACCTTCATTGATGACAAGCGTGTCTTTCATACCTGATTGTGTTCTTCGAAATCGAATTTTTTTAGGATGTAAACATCAACATGCACGGGCGTACCTGAACGATTTTTTGTAAGGGGTATGGGAAACAGAACAAATAAATATCACAAAGAAATCGTTGGATTTAATTCAATAATTTACCAATGTCTTTAAAAAAAATGTAGCTAAAAATTATTTTGTTCAGAAGCAAAGGTCAACGAATTGCGATAATCCCAGATTTCAAATATAATTTGTTTAGGTTTTCAAATATAATTTGTTTAGGTTCCCATTTCAAGATTCTTGATCAGTAAATAAATAATCCTCAAAATTACACTGGGCTACAAAATTCAATTGAGGCACGTGAGAAGACACGTGTAACTGTTTTTTATACCCTCCACCTTTCTATGGAGGGTATATTAACCTTGACATTCCGTTTATAGCTCCTCGAAATATTCATAATAGACCCTACAAAGTATATATATTCTAGATCAGCGTAAAATTCTAAGACGATCTAGCGATGTCCGTCCGTTTGTCTGTTGTAATCACGCTATCTTTCGAACGAATTGAGGTAGAAGGCTAAAATTTTGCACATATGCATAGTTTACCAGTAGGCAGGTTAAGTTCGTAAATGGGCCATGTCGGTCCACGTTTTCGTATAGCTCCCATATAACTGTACCTCCCGATATTCGGTATTTTCATTATTTTAGCTATATTATTTACCGGAATTGTTAACAATTTTGTATTTAAAGTTCGTAATGGGTACTACAGCCTATGACAAAAAATTCGTAGGTTCACGTTTTCGTATATCCCCCATATAACGGTACATCCCGATGTTCGGTATTTTGATGATTTAAGCGACATCATTCACCGGAATCGCTTCAAATTTCGTATTGGGAGATCTTACTGGTTACTACAACCTATGGGAAAAAAATTTCGTATGCAGGTCCACGTTTTCGTATAGCCCCTATATAACGGTACCTTCCGATATTCGGTATTTTCATGATTTTAGCGACATTATTTACCGGAATTATTTAAAATTTCGTATTTGAAGTTCGTAATGGGTGCTACTACCTATGACATAAATTTTTGTATGCAGGTCCACGTCTTCTTATAGCCCCCATATGTAGGTGCCTTCCGATACTCGCTATTTTTATGATTTTTCCTACATTATTTACCGAAATTGTTCCAAATTTGGTAATTGAAGTTCATAATGGTAGTACCCTATTTCTATTCCTATTTAAAAATTTCGTAAGCAGGACCACGTATTCGTATAGTCTCAATATAACAGTTTTCACTTAAGTGGTAGTTTCCGGAAGTTTTTTTTTTTTGAAAAATTTTAAGTTCCTTCCAAACGGTGGAGGGTATATAAAGTTCGGCCTGGCAGAACTTAGTTGCTTTTTTACATGTTAAACGTTTACACTGAAAATTAATTCAAATAGAAGGGGGCAAACTCTCGGTCTTCCATGAATAGATTTATTGGCTTCTATGAGAAGACCTCTTAGTCTCCCAAGAGAAGACTCCTTGATCTTCCAAGAGGAGAAATCTTTATATTCTATGAGAAGACTGCCAGGTCTTCTATGAGAAAACCACTAGGTCTCCTATGAGAAGACTTCTAAGAGACAATATCTTGGTCTTTCTGAGAAGTCCTCTGGGTCTACTGTGAGAAGATAAATTGGTCTTTTTTGAAAAGGAATCTTTCTCTTCTATGAGAAGACCTTTAGGTTTTCTATGAGAAGACCTTTAGGTTTTCTATGAGAAGAACTCTAGGTCTTCTATGATAATACCTCTTCTCGTTTTCTATGAGAATACCTCTTCTAGTTTTCTTTGAGAATACACCTTCTCGTTTTCTATGAGAAGACCTCTAGGTCTTCCATTAGAAGACCTCTAGGTCTCCTATGAGAAGACCTCTAGGTCTTCTATGAGAAGATCTCCAACTCTTCTATGAGAAGATTTCCAGCTCTTCTATAAGAAGACCTCCAGGTCTTCTATGAGAAGATCTCCAGCTCTTCTATGAGAAGATCTCCAGCTCTTCTAGGAGAAGACCTCCAGCTCATCTAAGAGAAGACATCCAGCTCTAAGAGGAGAAGACCACCAGCTCATCTAGGAGAAGACCTCCAGCTCTTCTAGGAGAAGACCTCCAGTTCTTCTAGGGGAAGACCACCAGTTCTTCTAGGGGAAGACCACCAGTTCTTCTAGGAGAAGACCTCCAGTTCTTCTAGGGGAAGACCTCCAGCTCTTCTAGGAGAGGACCTCCAGCTCTTCTAGGAGAAGACATCCAGCTTTTCTACGGGAATGTCCCCAGCTCTTCTAAGAGAAGATCTATGATAGAAGATCTATTTTATGAGAATATCTCGATTCTTCTATGAGTAAACCTCTGGCTCTTATGTAAGAAGACATCCAGTTCTTCTATGAAAAGACCTTAACTCAAACTTTTCTATTAGAAGAAATCTTGATCATATGCAAGAAGGCCTCCGACCCCTCTGTGGGAACACTTCTAGCTGTTCTGTGAAAATACATTTTGCTCATTTGTTGAGAACCTCATGTACTTCTTTAGAGGACGTCCCCCTCTTCTCTGAGATGATTTTTTGACCTTCTGTAAGCAGATCACTTTATCTTACTCATAAATGCCATTCTTCTCTGAATAAATACTTCAAGCTCTTGTGTGAAAGTACATCCTGCTTTGTGGCTGAGAGGGCCATTTATACTTCTGTGAGAGGACATCCTGCTATTCTTTGAGGTAATTGCGTGCTCTTCTGTAAGAAAACCCCCTTTTTCATAAATTTTGGGGTTATATGAGATAAGGTGCTGATCCTCTTTTAGAAAATTGCCTTCTACTCGTCTGCAAGGAGACTTCCATATGTTATATGATTTGATCTCTTGGAGATGACTTATCCACATTTTCCTAATCTTTCATTCTTGGTCCTCTCATTCTTGGTATGTTATAAAACTTCAGTGTATGTATGTTTTTTTTTGTGTTTTTATTAAAAAAGCGATCAACTACGATATAAAAAACATTTAGACGAAAAAAGAAAACTAACTACTAAACTCAAACAACTCTACAAACGATATTTAGCCGCTCTCAACAAGGGATACTTGTCACCATTACACAATCCACGGAAATCATCGTAGCTCAAATCGAACATTGACAGACCACCCAGACCCTTGGCATGGACATAGCTAGCCTTATTGGCAGCAGTTTCAGGATCTTCATAGCTCACCCATATGCCATGGTTGCCATCGGCATCGGCTAGACGGAAAGCATAGGTGCCATAACGTTTGGTGGGATCATTGACACGAGTCAGAGGAGCATCGGCACCCTTGAGGAAGGTATTCGAGGGATTTGGCAACTTTGCACAAACTTCAGGCCAGCTCAACAAACCAGGTGTTTGACTTTGCAAGCCAGCATCAGCAGGACCTTCAGTCTTTGGCACAACGGGAGCACCACCACTTTCACTTGAATCCGATGAGAGTTTCCAGGCGCGACCATATGTTGCCATACCGAGGATAAGTTTTTTGGGTGGACAGTGATTATGCAGCCAGTAGGCAACTTGGAAATCGGCATTATAGTGGGACAAACGATTTTGATCGTACAACTCATACAAGGGGGCGGTGTAATCAGCCTCTTCCGGATTCCGTTCTGGGGTGAGGAAATCGAAGGCAGCAATGTTAATAAAATCGGCAAAACCGGATACAGCTGGAACATCAAAGTACCCTAGGGAAAATAATAAAACAATTGCAATTATATTCCTCGAAATGAAGGATATTTATGTGAGGACTTACAGGACGAGTTGACATTGGGCAACACTGTCAGCGACAACAAATAACCATCGGGCCTCAGGGCATTTTTCAAATCTCTAACCAAAGCAGTAAATTGTTCCTTGTGTTCATCCGCCTTGGGATCGACAACGAAATCGCCAGTGAAGAGTTTCTTGAATTTCTTCCACACCAAACCAACATCGGAGTGCACCTTGCGGGGCTTATTCTTGGGGAACTGATAAGCCAAATCGATGCCATCGAAACCATAGGAACGAACCAAAGAATAGGCGGAATTAATGAAGGCAGTATGGCGGACACGTTCACCCTCCAACAGTTCAATGTATTTATCAGGATGCTCCGGATCCACATCCTTATCACCACCAATGCTCAACAGGACCTTCAGATGGGGGAATTTCCTCTTCAAAGCTGTGATTTCCGAATACTGATGTTTGTAAATATCCAAATCTTCGTGTAAGCTATAAGCCTGATATGTTTCGGGTTTAATGCCACAATAGCCATAGACCAAGTGGGTACAGAATTGAAGGGCGATTTCCAGATCAGGATTCAGCAATTTACCCAAACCTATGTGAAAAGAAAACATTAAACTTATTATGAGAAACATACAACAAATACATCTTCTACCCCTTTTTGAGTAGAACTTTACGGCTTTCCCTGAAGAAGACTATAGCTTCTCTACAAAAATACCAAAATATTTTTCAAAAGAATAATTCTAAAGTCTCTTTCAACAAAAAGTCTAACACAACTACCATACAAATACCTTTCAGTTTAAAACCTCCACCTCCCTTGGGAGAGAGAAGAATACAAAAGTTCTTCCATAAGAGTATAGCAGAGAGCGCACTTTTATGAAAAGAGACTCAAGAGATTTCTACCAGAAGGTGTCCAAATGCTATTCTATTAAAATACATCTTAGAGCTCTAAGAGAAGACCTCTTCTGTGATAAGACCTGACGGCCTCTTCTATGAAAAGACCTTAAGCTCTTTCCTGAGAAGATCTTAAACTCTTCTCTGAGAAGATCTTAAACTCTTCTCTGAGAAGACCTTAAACTCATCTCTGAGAAGACCTTAAACTCTTCTCTGAGAAGACCTTAAACTCTTCTCTGAGAAGACCTTAAACTCTTCTCTGAGAAGACCTTAAACTCTTCTCTGAGAAGACCTTTAACTCATCTCTGAGAAGAAATTAAGCTCTTTTCTCTATGAGAAGACCTCCTCCTCTTCTGAGATAGAACTCCTGGCTTTCCTTTAAGAAACTTCCAGCTCTTCTAGGTGTATACCTCCAGCTTTTCTGCGAAAAGACCTCAAACTCTTCTGTGACAAGACCTCCAGCTTTTCTGGGGAAGATCCTACGCTCTTCTGTGAGAAGACCTTAATCTCTTTTCTGAGAAGTCTACAATCTGTTCTATGAGAAGTCCGTCTCTTCTATGAGAAGACATTCGGTTTGCGAGAAAACCTTCTGTCTTCTATGAGAAGACCTCCGACTCTTCTATGAGAAGAGTTTCGGCTCTTCACCTCAAGCTCTTGTATAAGAAGACCTTCAGTTCTTCAATGAGAAGACCTTCAGCTCTTCTGTTAGAATACCTTTAGCTCTTCTGTGGGAAGACTTTCAGCTCTTCTGTGAGAAGACCTTCAGCTCTTCTGTGAGAAGGCCTCCAGCTCTTCCACCAGCCCTTCTAGGAGAAAACCTTCAGCCCTTCTAGGGGAAGACCACCAGCCATTATTGGAAAAGACCTCCAGCCCTTCAATGAGAAGATCTCCAGTCCTTCTAGGAGAAGACCTCTAGTTCTTCTAGGAGAAGACCTCTAGTTCTTCTAGGGGAAGAAGTCCGCTCTTCTAGGAGAAGACCTCAAGCTCATCTAAGAGATCACAACAAATCAACTTACATTCGTTGACATCATGTTGACAGACAAGTTATTGAAGCTCTTAGTCCAGTAACAAAGCCACAGTGCATAAATAACTGTCAGTTGGAATATTTAAATTCATAAACTAGTTTGTGATGTGATCAGCCGTCTGTTATACATTTCATTTCCGCCAATTTTGAACTTTTACACTCTCAATTTCATTGCCAGATCAACGACTCAAAACGGCACTCAGTTTTGAATTTGCAATGGCAAATATTAATTGTCATTCCACTTTTATTGTTGTTGAAACGAGCAGCACAGAGAGAACAATAACTGACATTAGAATAAGAATACCCGACATGCATTTAATTATTTTGTTTTTACTTTTTTTTTTTCAAATTATTGCTCGTTTTGTTTATGTATTCCGAACCGGTCACCGGTTGTTCACAACAAACAAATACTGGATATGACTCATTTTGGCTGTCTCGATTGTGGTCGATTTGTTTATATTTAAAAAAAAAATACAACAACCACAAACAGATTCATGTCATGTGCCAGCCGTTCAATTCAAACTTGTTTCTGAGGCTTAACCATAAAATATTGCTTGGCGTATTGTCTAATTTTGTTGTTATGAGTATTGGGATGGGGGAGTGGAAGGGCTCTGAAATTGTACTTTTTTAATTCTAAGAAATTGGTGCATTGTATATCTTTTTAAGACAATGTTTTCAATATTGAAAGTAAGAGATTCTATATACCCTAATATTTTTTTACAATGACATTAGAATGCAATTAGAGTAAGCCAGTCATTTGGAATTATTCAAAGTCATCAATTACAAATTACATTGATTTATTGTAATTTTCTTTAAATTAAAATAATTATATGAAGGGGAAGGGTTTGCAAGAGTAATATAGTAGTAATTCGTGGAAATCAATAACACAAGCAAAATTTCGGAATTCAAAAAAATAATTAGATAGTCGATAATTATGTTTATTTATTTTTTTTTTATTTGATGTAATCATAAACTGCCCTCATTTAAATTGAGAAATTTTATACAGAATATTATTTGAAATCTGGCGTTAGTCATTATAACATTGGCTTTATTTGAAAATCAATAATTGTACATCTGACTATTTTTATACCCTCCGCCATTCTATGGAGGGTATATTAACTTTGTCATTCCGTTTGTAACTCCTCGAAATATTCATAATAGACCCCACAAAGTTTATATATTTTGAATTAGCGTAAAATTCTAAGTCGATTTAGCCACGTCCGTCTGTCTGTTGTAATCGCGCTTTCTTTCGAAAAAATTGAGATAGAAGGCTAAAGTTTAGCACATATGTATTTTGCCAGAAGGCATGTTAAGTTCAACAAGTTAAAAAGCAGTAAGTTCGGCCAGGCCGAAATTTGAACACCCTCCACCATTTGGAACGAATTTGGAAATTTTCCAAAAATAAAATCCTTAAAAAATTCTGTTAAAATTTTAAAAATACAGAATATAGGAGTTATATTGGGGTCTATAGGACGTGGACCTACATAGCCATTGTTTGTCATAAGCCATTAGCATATTCAAATTCGAAACTTGAAATAAATGGTGAATAATGTAGCTAAAATTATCAAAATATCGTATATAGGGAGGTACCGTTATATCGGAGCTGTGCGAAGACCTGGACCAGCATCGACATGGCTAAAGCATCCATTACGAACGTCAAATACGACATCTCAAACAATTTCGGTGGGTATTGACATCAAAATACCGAATAAAGGGAGGTACTGATATATGGGGCCTATACGAAGGCCTGGACCTGCATAGAAAATTTTCTGTAACAGACTGTAGTTCCCATTACGAACTGAATAACGACGCTAAAACCATCACAATACCTAAAATCGGGAAGTACCGTTATATGGGGGCTGTACCAAGACGGACAGACATAGACAATTTTCTTCTTAGGCTGTAGTATCCATTTCGAACTTCAAATACCAACTTTGAAAGAATTCCTGAGGATAATGTCGCTTAAATCATCAAAATACCGAATATCGGGAGGTACCGTTATATGAGGGCTATATGAAAACTTAGACCTACATGGCTCATTTGCGAACTTAACCTGCCTACTGGAAAAATTAACACTTGTGCAAAATTTGAGCCTTCTATCTAAATTCGTTCGAAAGATAGCGTGATTACAACAGACGGACAGACCGATGGACATGGCTAAATCGACTTAGAATTTTACGCTGATCAGGAATATATATATTTTGTTGGGTCTGACATGAGTATTTCGAGGAGTTACAAACGGAATGACAAAGTTAATATACCCTCCATAGTATGGTGGAGGGTAAAAAATGTGCCATGTCAATCCACGTTTTGGTATAGCCCCCATATAACGGTACCTCCCGATATTCAGCTTACAGTTTTTCTTTTTTAATTTTGGTATCTAAAGTTCGTAATGGGTACTACAGCCAAAAAAACTAAAGACAAAAAATTTCGTATACAGGTCCTAGTCTCCGTATAGCCCCATATAAAGGTACCTTGCAGTATTCGGTATTTTTTTTATGATCTTAGCGAAATTATTCATCGGAATTGTTTCAAATTTCATATTTGAAGATCTTAATGAGTACTACAACCTATGACAAAAAATTACTTAAAAGCGGGCATACGCTTTTCCGTACAGTCCATATACTGCTGTTTTCATTTAAGTAAATTTTTTTCGATTTTCGGATTTTTTTTTTTTTTTTGAAAAATTCAAACTCAAATTTCAAATAGTGAAGGGTCAAACTTAACTGCTTTTTATAACCTCAACTATATATTTTTGATCAGCATAAAATTCTATTTCGATTTAGCAATGTCCGTCCGCCTATCCGTCTGTCCGTCTGTGGAAATCACTCTAGCTTCCGAACGAACTGAAGTAGATTGACAAAGTTTTGCTCAAATGTATGTTATGTCTGCAGGACTTTTGGTATTGAAAATGGACCATGTAGGTCCACGTTTTGGTATAGCCCCCATATAACGGTACCCCCGATATTCGGTATGTTGAAGATTTTAGCGACATTATTTACCGGAATTGTTCCAAATTTGGTATTTGAAGTTCGTAATGAATACTTCAGGCTATGACGAAAAATTGTCTGTGCAGGTCCATGTCTTCGTATAGCCCCCATATAACGGTACCTCCCGATATTTGGTATTTTGATGATTTTAGCGACATTATTCACCAGAATTGTTTGAAATAACTTATTTCGAGTTCGTAATGGGAACTACAGTCTGTGAAAGAAAATTGTCTATGCAGATCCAGGACTTCGTGTAGGCCCCATATATCAGTATCTCCCTATATTCGGTATTTTTACGAGTTTAGGTACAATACCCACCGAAATTGTTTGAGATGCTATAGCCTGTGACAGAAAATTCTCTATGCTGGTCCAGGTCTTCGCACAGTTCCGATATAACGGTACCCCCCTCAAGTTTCGAATTTGAATATGGTAATGGCTTATGACAAACAATGCCTATGTTTTTTTGGGGTCCATGTCGTATAGACCCCAATATAATGGCTATATTCGGTATTTTTAAAATTTTAACATAATTTTTAACGGATTTTATTTTTTGAAAATTTCCAAATTCGTTCCAAATGGTGGAGGGCGTTCAAAGTTCGGCCCGGCGGAACTTCCTGCTTTTTAACTTGTTATCAGTAATATTGCTGAAGACACAATATATCTATAATACAATAAATCCAAAGAATAGAAAAACGAAAATTGAAGAGGGGAGATTTCTGCCTCTTTTTAGGTTTCTTTGCAGTGTAAACTTTCAAAAGCCAGATACACGTGTGTGCTTTTTAAGTTTACTTTTTATAATCTACTTAGTTATTCCTGTAATTATGGAAAGAAATGAGTTTTGTCCAACAGATAATTGTGGAGAATTTAAGAAGGCCCTATCTGGACCCTAACTTAAAATTGAACTATTCTCTTATGGTTAATCAAAAGTCAATCTCTTTTAAAATTGCCTTATTTATTCACTATTGATAAGACAGAAAAAAAATCATTACCTTCTCGTATAAAACTGCCCGAATCATAGTAGCAGACCATATTGGCTGTACTATTCGCGGCTCCATGGATGCCGGCAAAGAGAGATAACACCAAAGCCACCACAAACAACTTCATGGTGATCGGAACGCACTAAGCACAGATTAACACCAAAACAAAAAATATTAATCTTCGAACGAAACACAACCGTTGTGGCCAAATGTTAAAATGACACTAAAGAACTACTCGAAATATCACAGATGAAATGTAAAACATAAGCTGGCGGGGTAAATGGAGCATTTAAATTGTTGTATTGTTGTTGTTGTTGTTATTTTGGCTTTTGTTTTTATTTCGAAGAAAAAACAAACATTCATAAGACAATATCAAAATAGACTGGCTATTTAATTCACACTCTTCTCTCAATGAGTTGAGTCAAAGCTTTTTTTCTCGCTGTTTGTTGTGGAGTGTCTGAAGTTCAAACCGAGTCTTGATGCTGGCGACAACAATGACAACAACAAGTACTCAAATCCAGCATTACGTCCACAACAAAAGTAATCAAAACAAAAACACACAAAATGATAACACACGTCGCATCGCTTATGTGTCAACGGCGTGCGGCGGCGTTACGCAGCCACCAGAATCGTCGAGAAGATCACGTCATTGTTTAGACAAAAAGCTTGTAAATCTGAATTTAAAGACAAAGTAATTAGAATGCTTTGACTGAATGAAATTAATGCAGAATTCAAATATAGAAATTATGAGTTTTTTTTTTTGTAGAAAGTGCAATGGACAGGATATCGTAATAGCCACAAGATCGAGAATGATAAACATATAATGCAAGTGATGTGCAAACTTGTTATTTTTAGCCAATACCAATTCAGAACAAGTAAAAAGGCTGTAAGATCGGCCGATTCGATCTGTGAATACACTCCACCATTTGGAATGATTTTGGCAATTTTCAAAAAAAAAAATAAAATTCGTTAAAAATTCTGTTAATATCTTAAAAATGCCGAATGTAGCCATTAAATTAAGGTATATAGGACGACGTGGAGCTCCATAAGTAACTTGGTTCATAAACAATTACAATATTCAAATTCAAAATATTCGATGAATAATGTAGCTAAAATCATCAAAATATTCATTATAGGGAGGTACCTTTATATTGAGGCAATACGAAGACGTGAACCTGCATAGACAATTTGGAGATACGTTTGGTCTTAGGCTTTAGTGTCCATTACGAACATCAAATACGAAATTGAAAAGAATTCTAGTGAATAATGTAGCTAAAATCATCAAAATTCTGAATGTAGCGAGGTACCATTATATTGGGGCTATTCGAAGACGTGAGCCTGCACATAAAATTTTCTGTCATAGGCTGTAGTATTCATTACGAACTTCAAATACTGAAATTAAAATAGTTCCGGTGAATAATGTCGCTAAAATAAGCGACATACCGAATATCGGGAGGTACAGTTATATGGGGGCTATACCAAAACGTGGACCTACATGACCCATTTATTTCAATACCAAAAATCCAGCAGACATAACATATATTTGAGTAAAATTTTATCAATCTACTTCAATTCTTTCGGAAGCTAAAGTAATTTCCACAGACGGACGGACATCGCTAAATCGACATAGAATTTTATGCTGATCATGTGGATCTTCCTATCTCGCCAAACTGAGTCGATCTAGCTATGTTTGTCCGTCTGCTCGCTACAGCTCGCAATTTTGGCCCGATCCTCACGAAATTTTGCACTGAGGTGGTATTAAGATCAGAATAGAGGCCTATTGGAGATGATTGCATAATAATTAGAGGATGAATGGTTACAAATTGAGGTTCCAAGAATGGTTACAAAATGAGGTTCCTCGCTTCATTTCCAGCGCACAATGGCCACCAAAATTCGTTGGACTGTTGTATCTGGAGTATTTTGGAAAGCAAGGTTGGCCCTAAAAAATACCAAAGTGTCGATCACCTCAAGCAAGCGCTTCGGCGGGAATGGGCCAAAATACCGCAGAGTAACATTCGTGCAGCGTGTGACGGTTTCATTGGCTGTTTAAAGGTCGTAATTCGAAAAAAATCTTAACTAATTCTAAAATTTTATGTTATTTTCTATATTTTTCGCTTTCATTCAATAAAATTTAAAAAAAAAAAATGTAAAAATTATGGCGTTTGGCTTTGTTACAGTTTTTTATCTAACCCTGTATATCAGATACAGCTCAGAAATACTTTTTCTATATTTTATCGAGATCGGTTCAGATTTGGATATAGGTTCCTTACATATCTTCCGATTTGCCTTTTATTGTGCACCAAACGTGTAATATTAGCCCAAATGGGATGGAATTAGGCACTTACTATCAAATTGAGCCCAGAAACAAGTATGTCAAATTTTTGTGAAAATCGGTTCAGATATAGCTATAGCTCCCATATATATTGTACATCCGATTTGTTATTTTTGTCCTTCTCAGCCGTAATGTGCACTCTGTAACAACGATATTTGGGAAAGTATTTTAGATACAGTTGAGATATATTTTTCTACATTTTATCGAGATCGGTTCAGATTTAGATATAGATCCCATATATATGTCTTTATACGATTTCAAGTTAATTGTGAAGCAATTTATTTGGAAAATTGCAGTATAACGTCGCATTCATTTTCCGAAATTTCGCACAGTTATTTTCTTTGGACCTAGGATGAACACTTTTTAAATGAATGGGTTCAGATTAAAATATACGTTACATATAAGTGTTTCTCTGGTTTAATTTTTTTTACATCAAATACGTACTATCTGAGTAAGCAGAATAGAATTCAGTCGAGAAATATTTTACTGAAATTTGTGAAAATCGGTTAAGACTTAGCTCCTAATTTGATTTATGTGATATTCTAATCCTGTTTTGTTTGTAGACATGTTATGGGTAATATCGGCCTACGTTTTCATGTTTTTGGGTTTTATTTGGGTTTGTTTTAGAAATTAATTTTATGTTGGACAAAAAAAAGATTTTTTCTGAACCTTATTTAACTCAAAGGTATACCCCAACGTTAAATATATCGTATGAGAAAATTTCGTTGAATAAAATTTGAGTTTGAATGAAGTAACTGAAAACACCATTGCATGTCCTAAATTCTTCAACAGAGCAATCTGGAAAAAAACATCTTCAATTTTTAAAACTCGCGTAGAAATCATTACTCATAATAAGAAAATTCAAAAATATTCTCAGGGACGAAATGTGGTAGTCTCAAAATTATTTTCGTATTTACTAAACTCTTTTATTCATGTCTGAAAAGACTGTTTTCATTGAAATATTGCGGTTAATAATTTTAATTGCTATCACAAAAAGCAAAAAGTGATAAATTTATTTGGCATAAATCTTGTGAGTCATTCTTAAAATTCCTAATTTTTTTACACAGACAACATTTTTTAAAAAACATACGACCGAGTTCATTCTAGAAGCAAGTACATCAAATTTGGTGAAAATATAATCAGATATAGTTGCATCTCCCATGTGTATGATTCATCCGATTTGGTCTTTAAGTCCCTCACATTCGTAATATGCACTCCACAAGAATGACATTTGATACCAGATATCTTATAGAGCTCTGAATTACCTTTGCCAAACGTTACAATGATTACAGCGTGAGATAAAAAAACTGCAACAAAGTAAAACGCCTTAATTTTTACATTTTTTTTTAAATTTATTTGAATGAAAGCAAGAACTGTCGGAAATAGCATCAAACTTTAGAATAAGTTTAGATTTGTTCGAAATGGTCACCTTTGCCACGAATTAGGCCTTCAAACGACCAATGGAACCGTCACACGCTGCCCGAATGTTGCTCTGCGATATTTTGGCCCATTCTCGGCGAAGCGCTTGCGGCCCAAACCATTACTATGGTCGGTGGCCAACCGAAGGTGCACATTTTCAGCTGACCTCTTTGGCAAGTAAACACGATCATTTTGTTTCTTTACAAACTGCTGGACAACAAATGTTTTCTCATCGAAAATCGGAGAAAACCAAATTCGGCAGTTCACCACTTTCGGCCAAGCGAAGCAACTCAATAGCTCTTTTGAGTCTATTTTCTTTCTGTTGCGGTGTAAGTTCTTACACTTTTTGGAATTTCAATGGCTTTACCCCTGCTCATTTTTCAATATTTGTCGAATGAAATATTTCGATATGTTCAGCTCACGAGCCATTTTTCGGCCACTGCGACGCGGGTTTCGATCAAGTCGTTTCTTTACTTTTCGAACCATTTCTGCTGATGTTGCTGTTTTCTTCCTTCTTTATTCACATTTAAATGCTGGAGTTCTATAACGATAGCCACTTGTGGTTTTCCAGCCAAATATAAAGAAATCGCACTATCACGCTTGAATTCCATCACGAATAACTTTTTTTCTGGAAAATTCTCACCAAAATACGCCTGTAAATGATATAATGAGCTGTCACTGGAATAATTTTAACAGCTATCGGACGAGTGGCTTAGAAATGATCAGTCTGAAGTTGGTTGCAATTTTTTCATCTCATCTCATCTCATATAATGACTAATATCAGTCCAAATGGTGTGATTTTCGGGTGAACTCAGCTCCGATATATATTTTTAATAGACCCTATAAAGTATATATATTGTGGATCTGCGATCTAGCGATGTCCGTCTGCCTGTCCGTTATAAACCATCTTTCGAACGAATTGTAATAGAAGGCTAAAATTTTGCATCAATGGGACATGAAAGTCTACGTTTTCGTATATCCCCCAAAAAATCGAGTGTAGGTTCACGTTATCGTATATCCCCCATATAAAGGTAAATCCGGATATGCGTTATTTTGAATATTTTAGCGACATTATTTACCGGAATTATTTCAAATTTCATATTTGAAGTTCGTAAAGGGTACTACAGCCTATCGTGGACCTATTTAGACACTTCTCTTCCAGGAGGCAAAGTACACAAAAGGAAATCCTTGTGTGGATTTTCAGACTATTCCACTGAAAAATGTGGCTGAAACCATCAAAATACCTTATATCGGGAGGTACCGTTATATTGGGGCTATAGAATATCGTGGACGGTTATATCCCATCTTCGAACGTGACCTGCCAGCAGACAAAAGACTGATCTATGCAAAATTTTAGCCTCCCATCTTAATTCGTTTTGAATCTTATCTAACAATCAAAGGATTTAGTACCATTTTTGCATACATTCCCAAATTCCAGATTCTATCCCCAGCCGGTTCTTCTGTTTATTGTTGACTCACACACTTTTTACAATTTTTAATAGGTTTTTAACATTTTTTTCTGTTATTTATTTAAAATGGCAATACAAAACTTATTTTACCACATACATCTAACATCCAGACTACCAACCTTATCGCTACATTCTTTATGTAATCTTTAAAACTGACCCTGATCATTATCACACAATATTGAAAAGAACTCAAGGTCAATATCAGTTTATTTTTTACAATATTTTATTATTAATAATATTTTTCACTAACACTACATCGACAATTTCCCCCTTCTGGTAATCTCTAAATGTATTTGATTTTTCCACTACAACAATAACAATAATAAATTACATAAGAAAGACATTTATTCAATAACATTTTGTACGGAACGTAATATGGGGAATTTTGCCCCGGTACACAAGCCTCGAAAATCATCATAGCTTAAATCGTACACAGCCATGCCACCCAGACCCTTTAGACGAGCATAGCCGGCCTTGTGACCGGCAAAATCTGGATCATCAAAACTTATCCAAATGCCGTGTTCATTATTCTCGTCCGCTGGACGGAAGGCATAGTTACCATATTTATGTTCAATATCGATGACTTTCTGCAGCGGGGCGTTGGCGCCACGGAACGAACCCACTGTGCTGGCCTTATTCAAGAGGCCACATATTTCTGGCCAACTCAGAAGACCTGCTTTGCCAGACATAACTCCAGCGTCGGCTGGACCATATGTGGCCGGTACTACTGGCATTCCCGACACCTGAGAATCGGTGGTCATTTTCCATGTACGGCCATAGGTGGCAACACCCAAATTAAGTTTACTGGCCGGGCAGCCATTTGTTAGCCAATAATTCACCTGGAACTCAATGTTGTAGTGCGGCAAACGATTTTGTTCGTCTTTGAAAAATATAGGGGCCGTGTAGTCAGCTTCCTCGGGATTGCGATCGGGTGTTAGGAAATCAAAGGCAAACAGATTGATGTAATCGAATTGATTGTGAATTTTCGCCACATCAAAGTACCCTGAAAGGAAAATTGAAATTTATAGGATTAGAATTTTAAAGGCATCCTAAAATTTTGGTTTAAAAGAAAATGAAATAATATTTTCAAAACAAAAAAGTAATCCTTCCTTTGGTTTAAAAAAATTAAGAATTCAGGCTGAATAAATCAAAAACATAAATTTTGTTTCATACATCGGTGTTGAAAAGTCTTCTAATTAAAAAAAATTAAAAATCTAAGTTCGTAAATTCCGCGCCAAAAATAATAAAAAAAAATTAATTTTCGATATTTGGTATTTTGGATTTTCAAGGGTTTTAATTTGAAAAAATATTTTCTTTAATTAATACATTTAAAAAAATAACGATTTTAGTTCCACTTTTTTAGTTTAAACAAAATAATTTATTAAAAATTGTTTCCGAATAACCAGTAAGTGCCAGCTACTTCGTCTAAGAAAAGTCCACATTAAAATTTAAGATTTGATTCAAGAGCTTGTGTTATGCCTTTTTTTAGTACAAAAAATTCACAATTTTTTTCAGTTCGGCAATATGACTTTTTTTAATCAAACCTCCCTACAGTGTACTAAATTTTTCAGAATTTCAAGGTTTTATATATTATTCCTTTTTCGTAAAGAAGTTTTGCGAGGGGGAAATTAGTAAAAATCTGGGTACAATGGATCCACGTCCAATTTTCCGGTCCACAACAATATTAACGTCTCCATATGTAAACCCTGGATACCTACAGTGACCTCAATAACAAATTTCAGAATTTTAGCTCCATCCCTTCACCCAATAGAATGCTTAGTAGCAACAGTGCTTCAAATTTAGTAGCATTTAATACCTTTCGAACTTCGGGACTCTAGCTCTATCCCTCCACCCTATGCCAAATTGAATACTTTTCGTAAAATTATGGTACACATTTCCAAAACCACCTCCATATCTCAATCCAAGATACCAACAGACCCCTTAATATCAAATTTCTGGATTTCATCCTTATTTATCCACCCAATTTTAATTTAAGTACTATTTTAATTAAGTACTATTTAGTACTTTTCGTACAATTATTGTACACATTTCCGAAACCATCTCGATATCTCAATTTCAGATACCAACAGAGACCTAAATATCAGATTTGAGGATCTCAGTCCTATCCCTTCACCCGATACCAAACTAAGTACCATCAAGTACTTTTCGTACAATTATAGTACATATTTCCAATACCACCCCTACACATGAATAGTCACCTTAATACAAAATTTCAGATTTCCAGCACTATATATTCACCCAATACCAAATTGTACCAAATATAGTACCATTTAGTACTTGTACTTTTGTATACATTTTCAAAATCACCTCTAAATCTCAATTCCATTTACCAACAGAAACCTCAATATCACATTTAAGGATTCCAAAAGTATGCCTTCACCCAGTTTCAAATTAAGTACCATGAAGTACTTATTATTCAAATGTAGAACACATTTGCAAACCACAACCAAATCTCTTTTCGTACAATTATAACACATATTTTCGAAACCGCCAGGGATTCTCATATCAAATCTCAGAATTCAAGCACTATCTATTCACCAACCCTAAAATTGTACCAAATATAGTACTATTTAGCAGTTTTCGTGCACTTGTAGTACACACTCCAAAACTACCTTCATATATCAAACTTATTTGCCAAACCTGATTCTTTTACCACATTTCAAGTTTTTAGCTCTGTATTGTACCATTTGGTATTATGTGAACGGATGTTCACATAATACCAAATGGTACCATTTTAGAAGTTTAGTACCATTTTTGAAACTTTCGCAACCTTAAAGTTCGAATTTCAAAAATTAAACCCTTTAGCACATCTATCCTGCATTCCATCAGTTACTACTATTCTAAATTTCTGAATTCTACCCTATTCCGTTTGTCCAGTACAAAGTATTAAATTGATAGTATATTTTAGTACTTTTGGTACCATTTAAGTACGAATTTCCAAAAATACAACCTTATCACACGCCCACGCACCCCAAATCTTGCGTAAGTAGAAATATTGGGATCGCACGCTTATTTCAAATTTTATGAGCGTTTTGGTTATTCAAAATTTCGACCCTTTGTGGGGGTGTCGCAAGAAGCAGTGGACCGATATCTACCATCTCCACAACAGATCAACAGATCTTGTGTTAGTAGAAATACGCAAATGGGTTAAGTTTAAGGCGATATTGCCAATAATTGCGTCTGACTAAGCACTGACACAAAATTTTCGGACTTACAAAGTTTGAATCGATATTGCCTCCGAAACCTTCTCCGAAACGACGAAACCTAGTTTGGACCAAATCGGGTATCCTCTTCGAGAGATATCGTGCACACAAACCGACATCAAATGACCTGAAACGAATTTAGTCCAAAGAGACATAGGGTCTAATACCATAAGCCTCTGTGACCTATGTCTGAGAGTACAATCAGCGATGTTTTTTAAAATAATATTTTTTACAATCCATGAAGATCCTTGAAAGAATATATTTTTTTTTTTAATTTGCAATGGTATTTGGAATAATATTTTTTAAAAAGCTATGATTAAAAAGATAATTCTTTAAAAACTATTCTTGAAAATCTGAATGTTTTTCTGACCTCCTGTCAGAAAACCCACCAACATAGCTAAGTAACCCTAGAAACATATTCTTTGAAACAATCGATTATAGCTCTTAAAAATCCTTGAAAGAATTTACTTTGAAAATCCTTCAATAAGCGCAGGAATAACTCCTATGATATAAAAAATAATTTTCTTAAGCCCCGAAAACTTTGGAAAGAACATCATTGGCAAATCAATGATTACACCTATGAGAGTCCTTAAAAAATATTCTTCAAAATCCCCTGTTAGATCCCTAAAAGCCCTTAAAATTGTTTTTAAATATTAGTGCGATTAATGATCTGAAAGTGATTGAAAAATATTCCCCAAAATCCCTTAAAATCCGTAAACATATTATTTCAACATCCATGCGATAAATGCCCTGAAAGTCCATGGAAAAATACTTTTCAAAATACCCGAAAATACTCTAAAAATATCCTTTAAATATCCCTGCGATTAGTGCTCTGAAAGTTCTTCTGAAAGTCCTTGAAAAAATATTCTTCAAAATGTCCGATTAAAGCTTCAAAAATGCATTTGAAATTTCTTAAAAAAGTGATTTTTAAAATACCTGATTACATTTTTAAAAATTAGTCTTTCAAATCTACGCAAATAATTCTCTAAAAGTCCTCGAACAAAATATTCTTAAAAATCCTTGAAAAAATTACAAATATGAAAGTCCTTGAGAAAATATTCTTCAAAATCCCCGACTAAAACTCTAAAAATCACAAAAAAATATTCTTTAAATATCCACGTCATTAATGCTTTGAAAGTCCTTGGAAAATTATTCTTCAAAATCTTCAATTAATGCTTGTAAAATCCCTACACATATTTTTTAAATATCCAAGTATCCATATATTAAGAACTCCTCGATAAAAGCAATAAAAATCCATAAAAATATTCACGATTCAAACATCTACATCATTTATGCTCTGAAAATCCTTAAAAAAACAATCTCTAAAAATAGTATTCAAATATCCATCGTTTAATGCTCTAAAAGTTCTTGGAAGAATATTCCTCAAAATACCCGAGTAAAGCTCTAACAATTGCTAAAAATATATTTTAAATATTTCCGAGATTGATTGAAGGTCCTTGAAAAAATATGCTTAAAAAATCCTCGAAAAATCTCTAAAAATATTATCTAAAAATTCCTAAAAATATTTCTTAAAAAAGCCTTAAAAAATCTCCAAATAATTCTTGGCAAATATTCTATAAATATCCACTCGATTGATTCTCTGCAAGCCATTGAAAAAATATTTTTTTAAAATCCCCGAAAATCTATAAGAATATTATCTAAAAATTCCCAAAAATATTTTGTAAATATCCACTCAATTAAGTCCTTGAAAAATATTCTCTAAATTTCCCTATTAAATCCTTAAAAAGTATTCTTTAAATATTCACGCGACTAATTCTTTAAAAGTCCTTGGAAAAATGTTCCTCTAAATCCTCAATTAAAGCTTTGAAATAACCTAAAAAAATTAATATCCACGCGATTAATGCTCTTGAATTCTTTGGAAAAATAATTTTCTAAATCCCCTATATAACTTCTTAAAATCTCTATAAATATTCTTTAAATATCCACGCGATTAAACCTTTGAAATTTCCAGAATAATATTCTTCAACATCTCTGATTAAAATTCTAAAAGTCCCTAGAAATATTGTTTTAAAAATCCATTTCTTAAATATCTCCCTCAAAAACACCACCAAATTGCACTTCTCTCAAAAATTTCGAAACACTATTCTGCATTTTACTTACATGTGGAATTAACATTTGGTAGCACTGTCAAAGCCAACGACAAATTCGCATTGCTATATGCCGCCCTGAGATTCTGCACAAATTCCGCAAATTGTTCCTTGTGCACTTCCGCATCGGGATCGACAATAAAATTGCCAGTAAAAAGTTTCTTAAATTTCTTCCAATATGTTCCCAAGGTGCCATGGACTTTTCGTGGCTTATTGCGTGGAAATTGAAAAGCCAAATCCAAACCATCGAAACCGTTATTTTTCAACATCGTCACAGAACTTTGGACAAAATTATCGTACAGCGGTTTGCCACCTACTAGAAAATGAACATATTTCTGGGGATCCACTTCATCGTTGTCATAATCTCCGCCCAGGCTGAGAAAAATTTTCAAGTCAGGAAAGAGTTTTTTCATTTCAGTTATCTGGCGGAAATGGAACATGTCCAAGTCGACATTGAGACTGGAAATTTCAAATGATTCGCGGGTGAGGCCAGCATAGCCGTACATGAGGTGGGTACAAAATTGCAGGGCATACTCCAGGCTGGCAAGGGGGAATTTGGCAAAACCTAGAGATGTTAAAAAAAAAAAAAACAAAACATAAAAAATAATTTGAAATAAAAACAAGTAAGCAAAGGCTACAGTCGAGCGGGGCCGACCGTTGAATACCCTACAACACTATAATAAACGATACAGTTTATATAGGCGAGATACTCGAAAGGATTCCACAAGATATTGTGACAAATAATAAAAGAAAACCATCACGTTTCGTTCTCTAATTTTCGAATAATAGCAACTGAAATTAATTTAAATGGTCTTCCTAGATCTGGAACCAATATTTCCCAAAGACCTATAATCTCTCAGAAGTGGCAAAAGATTAACATTTATTATTGGTTTTTGACTGAAACGCATCTATATGAGATACAGCCATTTGACTATATTCTTCAACAAACTCAGCGTTAACGAAATAGTCAGAAGTGCGTCTTTCCTGTATTTGTGAATTCTCCAAGAAATCACTGGAATGGACATTTTCGTATTTTGTCTACAAAAGTTGGCAAACTATTTCACACATTGAATATTTTTGGATGGCCATCCAAAACTGCTTGGCTTTTGCAATCTCCGGTAAACCCAATTCAAATGTGCGTGAGGATCGGTTGATAATTACGACCTGCTGACAATTTTGCAGTTTTTTGGTCCATTTCAACCCCTAAATATATGGCGAAAATCTCCAAAAAGAGTAGGCTTCTATTCTGACCCTCATCTTATCCCCATGCAAAATTTCGTAAGGATCGGGCCATAAATGCGATCTGTATATGATATCCTGATATCCTAACTACTTAGTTTTGTTAGCTGTAGAAATATTACCAAATGTTTAATTCAAAATGAAAATATGCCAAAAATATGACAAAAATTGAAAAAATATGGGAAAATTTTACAAAATCAATATTTTCATCTTTAGAGATATTTTTATGCGATTTTTTAGACGTTTTTTCTTTCCTGCCAAGAGGCCATTCTGAATTAATGAGAACTGTCGAAATCAGTTCAGCCGTTCTCGACATATAAGAGATCTTTCAAGCATATCTTCTTTGTTAGACATATATATCGCACATATTTCGCTATATATCCGATTTGTTGGATGTTAACATCAATGTAAAGGTCAGAAGTAACCTTGTCATGGCTTTGTGATTTCGCCGGTATTTAAAATATTCGCGGTTTAATGAACAATTTTGAATTTTTTCAACACAAAAGATATGGTCTATTTTACCCGCTAAATATTATCCGATGACCACCCAAATTGGTAGGCTTCTTCCCCGCCCTAAACTCTAGCTACATGCGAATTGGTCTATAATTGCGACCAGTATAGCTACTGCAAAATCCGATATTTTTTCAGTATTTGGTCCATTTCAACCCCTAAATATTATGCGATCATCTCCAAAAGAAATAGGGTTCTATTCTGACCTAATCCCCACCTCCATTCTTAATTTCGTGAAGATCGGGCCATAATTGCGACCTGTAGAGTGATTACAAATTAACATGGACAGACGGACAGACGGACAGACGGACGGACGGACATACATAGCTAGATCGACTCAGCTCGGCGAGCTAGGAAGATCCATATATACTTTCCTATATGGGAAACCAATATTTCGAGGTGTTACATAAATTCTGGCCCAATCAAACTTATAATACCCCCAACACATAGTGTTGTAGGGTATAATTACCTCCCATAGTTTCCGTAATATAACATACCTGATCTCAGGGAACTTTGGGCATTGTAATAGCACACAATCCTTTTTTCCGATTTTTGACCCCAAACCCCTCCGTGGTGGTGGCTCAGGGCAAGAAATGCCACAATTGTTACCAACAATTTCATTTCGCTAACCCTCTTTTCCTTTCTTCTGATTTGATTTGCAATTTTCGACGATGTGAACTTTTGCAGTGACTGACTCAAACTGAGCTGTCTATGATGCCACTCGCTAATTGTAGACAATCTGAATATTGAAATACAAAAATAAAAACCTTGTTGTCCGACTCAATCATCAAGTGATAACACTTGTTTCTCAATAAATAAATAAATCCACGCACACATACATACATATGTACACAAAAAAAATGCAAAACAAAAATATAAAAAATAAGCAGTTTTTTGAGTAAATTCTTCGTAATCGAAAACGTGAACTCAAGTTTGTTTTTGGTTTAGCGTTTATTAATAGCAATTTTGAAAACGTCATTTCGAAACTTAAACCTTTCTATTTCAGGGATTTACCGGAATAGCATGAGGGCAAAAATAACATTTACTTTTCCAAGTGGAATGCCATCACGTAGCGAAATATTTACGGATGGAATACATTTTCAAGGATTAATAGAGATTTTTAGAGAATTATTTAAATTAAATAATAAACAAGTAAGCACAGGCTATAGTCGTGCTGGGCCGACCATGTAATACCCTACAACACTACAATATGTTAAAGCCCCCTTATGTCCAAATCTATTTTGGAAGATTTCGCTTTTGAATTTATGTCATAGAGCACTGCACAGATATTACACTTAGCTTTTTGACCAGGGGCACTTACTCAATATTTATGCACACCCTCGTGCTGTTAGTTACAGCTAAATATAATCCAATGGTCATCCAAAATGCAGAAATTCTTCCCTGTCCTTAACTCTCTTCTCATGCAAAATTTCATGTCGATTGGTTTCAATTGTGTGATCAGGAAAAAACCATTTGAACCGATCATCTCCAAAAGCAGGAGGCCCCTTTGTATCTCTAAATTTAGAATCATCTATATAATTTGCTTGTCTACGATATTTGGTTATATTCGTCAATGAAATCAGCATAAACAACTAAAAAAAACTGTTAGTTCGGCCAGGCCAGAAAAAAATTCGTTAAAAATTCTGTTACAATCTTAACAAGTAAAGAAAGTATTAAAGTCGGGTGGGCCGACTTTATGATACCCTACACCACTTTGCTAATTTAGTAGAGCTCCACATAAGAATTAAAAGTTTTTATGGGAGAATTCAATCATACACGCTATGATTATAATTATAATTTAAAATTTAAAGGACTAAATATGCCGAAACATTTGTATCTTTTAAATTCGGACTTGTATTTCCCATTTGGTGCACAATTAATTTTAAGTCGTATAAAGATATATATGAGAGCTATATCCAAATCTGAACCGATCTCGATAAAATTAAGCAAAGAGATTTCTGAGCTGTATTTGATATATTTCCCTGAATATCTTTGTTACGGAGTGCATATTACGGTTGTGGGTAACAAATATAACAAATCGGATGAATAATATATATGGAAGCTATAGCTATATCTGAACCGATCTTCACCAAATTTGACTTACTAGCTTGACTCAATTCGGTCGTAAGTGCCAAATTCCGTCCCATTTAGACGAATATTAGACGTTTGGTGCACAATCAAAGGTAAATCGGACGGAGTTACATATGGGAGCTATATCCAAATCTGAACCGATCTCGATAAAATTTAGCAAATGTGTTTCTGAGCTGTATTTGATATATTTCCCCAAATATTGTTGTTTGCAGAGTGCATATTACGGCTGCGGAGGGCAAAAATAACAAATCGGATGAACAATATATGTGGGAGCTATAGCTATATCTGAACCGATTTCGATCAAATTTGGCATACTTATTTTCAGGCCTAATTTGGGTGTATATGGAAAATTCCATACAATTCAGGCTGATTGGTGCACAATAAAAAGCAAATCGGACGAAGATATATATGGGAGCTATATTTAAATTTTTACCGATTATCTCCAATTTCAATTGGGTTCGTCCTTGGACCAAAAAAATGATCTGTGCACAATTTCATCTGGATGGGGCAATAAATGCGACCTGCACTTTGTTTACAAAAATACATGGACAGACGGACGGACGGACATGCATGAATCGACTCAGAATGTGATTTTATGCAGATCATCAAAAGGAACTGTTGGTCTATCTCGTTTCCTTCTGCCTGTTACAAACAAATGCACAAAGACATAATACCCTGACCACCTTGTGGTGTAGGGTATAATAAACAAGTAAGCAAAGGCTACAGTCGAGCGGGGCCGACCGTTGAATACCCTACAACACTATAATAAACGATACAGTTTATATAGGCGAGATACTCGAAAGAATTCCACAAGATATTGTGACAAATAATAAAAGAAAATCATCAGGTTTCGTTCTCTAATTTTCGGATAATATCAACTTAAACTAATTTGCTCATTTCCAATGTATTGGTAGATGTTGGACGTAAATGGTCTTCCTAGATCTGGAACCAATATTTCCCAAAGACCCATAATCTCTTAGAAGTGGCAAAAGATTAACATTTATTTTTGGTTTTTGACTGAAACGCATCTATATGAGATATAGACATTTGACTATATTCTTCAACGAAATCAGCGTTAACGAAATAGTCAGATGTGCGTCTTTCCTGTATTTGTGAATTCTTCAAAAAGTCACTGGAATGGACATTTTCGTATTTTGTCTACAAAAGTTGGCAAACTCCTTCACACATTGAATATTTTTGGATGGCCATCCAAAACTGCTTGGCTTTTGAAATGTCCGGTAACCCCCATTCAGATGTGCGGATCGGGCGATAATTACGACCTGCAGACAATTTTGCAGTTTTTTGGTCCATTTCAACCCCTAAATATATGGCGATCATCTCCAAAAAGAGAAGGCTTCTATTCTGACCCTCATCTGATCCCCATGCAAAATTTCGTTAGGATCGGGCCATAAATGCGATCTGTATATGATATCCTGATATCCTAACTACTTAGTTTTGTTAGCTGTAGAAATATTACCAAATGTTTAATTCAAAATGAAAATATGCCAAAAATATGACAAAATTGAAAAAATATGAGAAAATTTTAGAAAATCAATATTTTCATCTTTAGAGAGATATTTTTATGCGATTTTTTTAGACGTTTTTTCTTTCCTGCCAAAAGGCCATTCTGAATTAATGAGAACTGTCGAAATCAGTTCAGCCGTTCTCGACATATAAGAGATTTTTCAAGCATATCTTCTTTGATAAACATATATATCGCACATATTTTGCTATATATCCGTTTTGTTGGATGTTAACATCAATGTAAAGATCAGAAGTAACCTTGTCATGGCTTTGTGATTTCGCCGGGATTTAAAATATTCGCGGTTTAATGAAAAATGTTGAATTTTTTCAACACAAAATATATGGTCTATTTTACCCGCTAAATATTGTCCGATGACCACCCAAATTGGTAGGCTTCTTCCCCGCCCTAAACTCTAGCTACATGCGAAATTCCGCGTCGATTGGTCTATAATTGCGACCTGTATAGCTACTGCAAAATCCGACAATTTTTCAGTATTTGGTCCATTTCAACCCCTAAATATTATGCGATCATCACCAAAAGAAATAGGGTTCTATTCTGACCCTAGCCCCACCTCCATTTTAAATTTCGTGAAGATCGGACCATAATTGCGACCTGTAGAGTGATTACAAATTAACATGGACAGACGGACAGACGGACAGACGGACGGACGGACATACATAGCTAGATCGACTCAGCTCGGCGAGCTAGGAAGATCCATATATACTTTCCTATATGGGAAACCAATATTTCGAGGTGTTACATAATTTTTGGGCCAATCAAACTTATAATACCCTCAACACATAGTTTTGTAGGGTATAAAAATCTTAAAAATACCGAATGTAGCCTTTTATTAAGGTCTATACGACGACGTGGACCTGCATAGGCAACTTTTGTCACAATCTATTACAATATTCAAATGCAAAACTTGAAAAAAAATTGTTTATAATGTAGCTAAAATCATCATAATACCGAATATAGGGAGCTACTATGGGGGTTATAAAACGTGGACCTGCACAGACAATTTTCTGTCATAGGCTGTAGTATCCATTACGAACTTCAAATACAAAATTTGAAATAATTCCGGAAAATAATGTCGCTAAAATTATCAAAATTCCGAATATCGGGGGTTCCGTTATATGGGGACTATACGAAGACCTGGACATGCACGGACAATTTTCTGTCACAGGCTGTAGTATCCATTACGAAGTTCAAGTGCAAAATTTGAAACAATTCTGGTGAATAATGTCGTTAAATTCATAAAAGTACAAAATACCGGGAGGTACCGTTATTTGGGGCTATACGATGGCTGGACCCCCACATACAATTTTCTGTCATAGGCTGTAGTATCCATTACAAACTTCAAATACCAAATTTTTAACATTTTTGGTGAATAATGTCGCTTTAATCACCAAAATATGGGAAATTAAAATGAGAACCAAAACGTGGACCTACAGGGTGAGATAAAAAACTGCAGCAAATTCAAACGCCATAATTTTTACATTTTTTTAATTTTATTTAATGAAAGCAAAATATATTGGAAATACCATCAAATTTTAGAATAAGTTTAGATTTGTTCGAATTGGTCACCTTTTGGCACGAACTATGACCTTAAAACAGCGACCCGCTGCCCGAATGTTGCTCTGCGATATTTTGGCCCATTCTCGGCGAAGCGCTTGTTTGAGGTGATCGACACTTTGGTATTTTTAAGTGCCAACCTTGCTTTCCAAAATACTCCAGACACAATAGTCCAACGGATTGGTATCCGGAGTTTTTGGAGGCCATTGTGCGCTGGAAATAAAGCGAGGAACCTTATTTTGTAACCATTCTTGGGTGGCGCTTGCCGAGTGCTATGGTGCTGAGTCCTGTTGGAATGTCCAAGGTCTGCGGCCAAAATGTTTGCGTGCCCAAGCCTTTAATACACCCTCCAGAATATTTTCGCGGTAATAATCGGCATTTATTCTGATGCTCCTATCGATTAATACGAGCAGAAAGCGATCATCGGCTGTTATGGCGGCCCTCACCATCACCATGGCCGGCGCTTGAGTTCTGGTGGCCAACCGAAGTTGCACATTTTCGGCTGACCTCTTTGGCATGTTTA